CATGTAACCGGCGCCGCCCGGAGCCGAGCCGCGCGGGCCCCAGCGACTGCGCGCCATGGGGGACGAGGACGAGGACGAGGGCTGCGCGGTGGAGCTGCGGATCACGGAAGGTGGAGCAGGGGCGCCCCGGGGTGCGGGCCGGGTGACGGCTGCCCCGCCGGGCCGGGAGGGGTCGGGACTGGCTGGGCTCATTTGCCCCCGATGCCCACAGCCAACCTGACCGGGCACGAGGAGAAGGTGAGCGTAGAAAACTTCGAGCTGCTCAAGGTGCTGGGTACAGGAGGTGAGGACCCCCAGCGACCGGGCAGTTGTCTCAGCCTACGATCGCGGGCTGGGCCCGGGCCAGCCCGGCTATGCCCCCCACCCCTTCCCGGCACATCCCGCCTCGCCTGCCCCGCCCTGCTCTGCCTGGGTTTGTGTGCACACCGCCTGGGCAGCTCCACTTTGAACGCTCCTGGCTGCGAGGCCCTGGGGGCTTGCCAACAGCCTCGGGGGCTTGCAGCCCTCCCAAGAGAACCGCACAGCTCCTCCCCTCGGCGCAGCCCGCCCAGTAGCCCATCCCTCCCGTCGGTCCAGCGGCACCTCTCTTCCTTGCGTGTTCGCATCCTCTCCAAACAGTCTGATCTTCCACGCGTTTGCACGCGCCCCGCCCCCGCCCCGCCCGCGCTGCGGACCCCCGGGCGTCGGTGCCCCCCCAGTGCGGTTTGCATGTTGCCCGCCTGGGTTGCTGAGCACCCTCGGGCCGTCGCCTTTCCCACAGAAGGCGCTTCCAGCTTACTGCACAGTTGCCCCTCACCCCAGCTCCTTTCTCCAGTTGGCACACCCTCAGGGTGGGCATCGCCCTCACTCTACCAGTCTGCACCCGCCTCTGCTCACCGCCTGCCCGCGCCCACTTGCTGCTCCCACAGCCTACGGGAAGGTGTTCCTGGTGCGGAAGGCGGGAGGGCACGACGCGGGCAAGCTGTACGCCATGAAGGTGCTGCGCAAGGCCGCCCTGGTGCAGCGCGCCAAGACGCAGGAGCACACGCGCACTGAGCGCTCGGTGCTGGAGCTGGTGCGCCAGGCGCCCTTCCTGGTCACGCTGCACTACGCCTTCCAGACCGACGCCAAGCTGCACCTCATCCTGGGTAAGGGCCGGCGCGGCCACCTGGGGCAGGGAAGCCGTGGCTGGGGGGGGGGCTGCCGCCTCACCTGCCCTCCACCCCCCAGACTACGTGAACGGCGGGGAGATGTTCACCCACCTCTATCAGCGCCAGCACTTCAAGGAGGCCGAGGTGCGCGTGTATGGGGGCGAGATTGTGCTGGCCCTGGAGCACCTGCACAAGGTGAGGCGCTGTGCAGCAGGTAGAGCTCCCCAGCACAGCCTCCGGCCTCTCCCCTGCACTTCTGGGGGGGTGGGTGGTGGCAGCCGTGGGGGCCGGAGCCGTGTCCCCAGGCCTCCTGGAAGGAAGGCCGGTGGTGCCCCCCCAAGGGGCTTTCCTCTCACAGGGAACTCTGGCTGCCTCCCGGGCGGCAGGCACAGGACTTCCTCAAATGGGGACCTCACCCGCGGCTTCTTGAAACGGGGCTCTTCACGCAGGCTTTCCTTTGTCTGGACTTTGGGGCCTGCTCCCAGGGGCCTCCCTGTGGGGGGGTCCCCTTTCTTGCTCTCACGCCTTATCGGCCGGTGGCACCCAGGACGCGCTCCTGCTGTGGAGATGGTCTTCTCCTGAGCAGCCCCGGGCTGCGGGAGGAGCCTCAGTGCCCCTTCCCCCTGCCAGCTGGGCATCATCTACCGGGACCTGAAGCTGGAGAACGTGCTGCTCGACTCTGAAGGCCACATTGTGCTCACAGATTTTGGGCTCAGCAAGGAGTTCCTCACAGAGGAGGTGAGTGGTGGCCGCCGCCTCCGTCCCCTCCCCGAGGTTTCTCCTCCGGCCCCGCTCGGGGCCTGGCTCTTCCTCCCTTGTGGGGACACAGAAGTAAAGAAATCCAGGCCCTGCCTTTGGGGAGTTCCTTGCTCTAACGAGTCCGGGGGGCTGCTGGGCACCCAACGCTCCCTCTTGCCCCCCCCAGAAAGAGCGGACCTTCTCCTTTTGTGGCACCATCGAGTACATGGCCCCTGAGATCATCCGCAGCAAGTCGGGGCACGGCAAGGTCGGTGCTCGGGGGAGCCGGGCGGGGGTGCAGCCGGGCTGCGGGCGCTCACGGCTCTGCCCGGCAGGCGGTGGACTGGTGGAGCCTGGGCATCCTCCTCTTCGAGCTGCTGACGGGGGCCTCGCCCTTCACGCTGGAGGGCGAGAGGAACACGCAGGCGGAAGTGTCCCGGTGAGCGGGGCTGGACGCAGAGGGGGCCGGGGGCCGCAGGGCCTGCCTGGGCAGGGCAGTGGGGAGGGGCTCGCTGCCCCTGACGCCCCCCCAATCCTCCCAGACGGATCCTGAAGTGCTCCCCTCCCTTCCCCCCCCGGATTGGGCCAGTGGCGCAGGATTTGCTGCAGCGGCTGCTTTGTAAGGACCCCAAGAAGCGGCTGGGTGCGGGGCCTCAGGGGGCGCAGGAAGTCAAGAACCACCCCTTCTTCCAGGTGAGGCTCCCGGTGCCACCCCACACCTCCCGGCTCACCAGGCTGGGCCTGACCAGTCCCACCGATTAGAAGCCGCCCAGGAGGAGAGGCAGTCTCCCCACCACCTAGCAGGGAAACCTGGGTTCATGGGTGGTCAGGGCCAGGGGGACGTGAGGACGGACGGGCCCCTCCTTCCTGTCACTGGACAGGTTCAGAGAAGGGAGGCGGCCTGCCCCAAACACAGTGAATGGCGTGGAGCTGGGGACTGACCCCGGGGCTCCTGCCGGTGCAAGTCAGAAGGGCCTCGTGCCCACCCAGGGTTCTGCCCTTTGTCCCTGGCAGGCCTGTGTGCCCGTGATTCAGATGGACGCTCGCTCGGCCAGGTGGGTGGCATGTGCTGGCTGCGGGTGCACACAGTGGACAGCGCAGTGCAGGGTGGGCTCAGCTCTCCGGAGATCTCGCTGGCTGGAGCCCTGGCCTGAGGACGCTTCTGCTGGGTCGGCCCTTTGCCGCCACTGTTTCTCGTGGCCTCAGAGCTAGCCTGATGATCTCCATCGTTATAGAGGAGAAACCTGAGCTTCAGAGAGGTTAAGTAATTTGCTCAAGATCACCCAGCCAGGAAGTGCTAGAGCTCAAATGTGAACCTAGGTCCGGGTGTCTTGGGGGTCTGTGCTTTGGGCTGGAAGTTCTGTGTACGTGTGGGTGTCAGACCTGTCACCTGTCTGACATCACAACAAAAGCACCCACTTCTGGGTGCTTCCTGTGGCCAGACTCTGGGTGACCCTTGCTCCTGAATCTTCCCAGTAAGCAACTGCCCGGAGGGCCATCTCAGGATGCAGGCTCTGGTGAAGACATCCCTTTGCAGGGAAGTGGCTGAGAGGCTGAGAAGCACTGTTTCCTTAATGGCATTCCTCAGGCCCACCCAGTGGGCCTGAGCACACGCCGGGTCCGACGCTGGGTACTGTGAGTAGGTTGACCAGTCTCATAGAAGAGAGAGAGCCAAGGTCATCAAGGCTGGGAGGTCAGCAGCATGCTCCCTTCCACCCCTCTTCTCTTGAGACAGCCTTGGTGAGAGCAATGCTGAGGTTCCTAGTGGCAGAACTGGGGCCTTCGAAGTCTTGTCAGGCCTCTTGGCTGCGAGTAAGAAAAAGCTCAACTCAAAACAGTGAGGAGATGTGTGGAATGTAAAGAGTTTGGCTGCTAATAACAGAGACCAGAGTGACCCAAGTGGTCTAAGCTAGATTGTTTATTTATCTCATGAAAAAGAAGTCTTGACCTTTGGGGGAGGACCAGTGAAACGTGTTTACATGTTGAGATGTGAAGTTGTAATCCCCTAAATTACAGCTTTGTAAACAAATGGTGAATCAATAAAATTTGATAGAACAAAAGTAAATAGGTACAGAGCTTGGTTGGCCACGGCTGCTGTAGCGCCTGCTTTAAAAAAGTCTCTGTTGTTAGCATGTCGTCTCCAGCCTCAGGGTTGCCTCCTGCTCCAGGATGATTGCTGGGGCGCCTACCATCTAGTCTGTGTCCAGGTGGAGAGCAGAAGGTCCCTAGTACACCCTGTGCTTGGGGACCTTTCCCTGGATTCCTAACTTTGCCTTGCAGTAAATGGCCACCCCTAGCTGTAAGGAAGTTAATGAAAGGTGGTCTTTTCATTGTGCGCATTGCTTCATGGAAAAAATTGGGCCTGTGGTACCTAAGGAAGACAGGGAGAAATGGATATTGGGGAGGCAGTGAACAAGCGCCCCACTGGCCCAAACAGAAAGGCACATTCCAGGGAAAAGTGATCTAACTTCAGGCCAGGCTGCATCTGGGTGCTGAATCTACACCTCGAGGAATTTCTTTCTGCTTTTCTATAAAATCCTTGGACTTTACCCTTAGGTCCTGAGGGCGTCGTTAGCAGTTTCAGGCCCAGTACCACAAAGAGATTTATTTCAATCCAGTGGAGGAGTGGTTTTCTAAGGGAAATGGGGATTGTGTTATCGGAGGAGTGAAGAGACGCCGGGAGGCAGAAACGCTTCCTTCCCCACACGCTTGGGAGCTCGAGGCGCTGCCCAGCGAGGGTGGCCTCGGTGGAGGTGGGCTTCCATTTCCTGCCCTTTGACCAACCTCTCATTCCTGTAGGGTCTGGATTGGGTTGCTCTGGCTGCCAGGAAGATTCCGGCCCCATTCCGACCCCAGATCCGTTCAGAGCTGGATGTGGGCAACTTTGCAGAGGAATTCACCCGGCTGGAGCCTGTGTACTCGCCCGCTGGCAGCCCTCCGTCTGGGGACCCGCGCATTTTCCAGGTGAGTGAGAGGGCAGGAGGGCCCCCAGCCTCGGCCCTCCCGGGGAGGACGGGGCACCTGCCTGCCAGCCTCCTCTTTCATGGGTCCCTGCAGTCCTTGGCCATAGAGGCCACTGCAGCAGGACACGTCTGGGCGGCTCGTGGTTTAGCTCCCGTTTCACGTTAACTTCTCTTCTGCTCTGCCAAGCTGGGAGCATGTAATATTTTTATGACTACATATATGTGTGCGTATATATATATATATTTAATAGAATCGTTTATTTTGACATCGTTTTGTGCCTTTTCCCATGTCAGTTGTCATCCCCGTGGGCTTCCCGTCACCAGTTCACCCTGTGCCATCACCGTAGTCCAGTGCACTGCCCCCACTCCCCACTCCACCCCCGTAAAATGTCTCTGGTATATAGTTGTTCATTGTTGTTATTTTCTCCCCCCTGGTCCTTTATGGTCCTGCTATGAGTGAAACCATCCGGTATTTTTCTTTTTTTTCTGGCTTATTTCACTAAGCACGATCCCTTCCAGCTCCATCCATGTTGCTGCAAAAGGCTTGAGTTCATCTTTTTTGATCGCTGGGTAATTTTCCATTGTGTATCTGTACCACATCTTTTTAATCCAGTTATCTACTTTTGACAATATATATTTTTAAAAGATTTATACATTTATGCCTATAAGTTCTGGGGTACAGGCAGGGGGAGGGTGAGACGGTTCACCAGAGACAGAGCAGGCAGATTGACCAAAGTACACTGCTGAGGGGAGCAGTGGGGAGACAGGAGAGGTCTGCTGTGCCATGGGGGTCACTCCCTGGCTGGGGACGGAACTTGTGCCGCAGTGGCTGTGGAGAGCTTCCTAGTGCTGCATTTTAACCCGCTGGGCCACCAGGGAGGGCCCTATTTTTATTATCTTGTAAAAATATTATTTAAAATTATTCACTGGGTTACATGGACACCTGGGAAGAGATATCAAGGTACCAAGTTCATGTCATGACTTCCTGTGGCCCTGAACACACAGTGTCACATTTCTGGGGGCATAGGTCCCTACCCCTCACCCCACCCCCCATGGTGGAAGCTTGGGTCTTTGGCCAAATCCAAACCCAAATTCCTTTGCTCAGCACTCAAGGCCCTGCGTGGTGAGGCCTTCCTCTCAGACCTTGCTATTGCCCACCTGGTATTCTAGCAGCTCCGAGGTTCCAGAGCATTCCACAGCACCTTTGCAAGTGCAGCTCCCTCCCCCCAGAAGGCATGCCCTCCACCCAGTTAGCCCCCCCCACCCCTGCTCCTCTGCCCTGGGCTGCCCGTCCCTGGGTCCCTGGGTGCCAGCTCTCAGTGGGCAGCTCCTTCTGAGCAGCTTGTCAGTGTACCACAGACTGAGGCTGCCTCCCTGGGCTGGACGCTTCGGGAGGGTGGGGACCGTGTTTAATTTCTGTGCCCAGTGTGGGGGTTGGTCTGTAGCACATGGCCCGTAGCTATTGTGCAGGCAGGCCCGCATCAAGCCCGTGGATCAGCCCTCTGAAGCTCTTCTGAGTGACCGCCCTGGGCTGGAACGTCCCTCCAGCCCTGTCTCTGAATCCTAATGAGGAAGTTCTGTCTTGTGAATGGATGCCTTTCATGCATTTGCTCAATGAATTCCAAACTATCTGTGGAGTGCCTACAAGGTGCCAGGCACTGATCTGGGCACTGGGACGTATCAGTGAGCCTAAAAGACAAACTCCCCCCCTGGAACTTGGAGCTTGCATACCAGCACACAGTAGGGCTGATTTAGAAGGACACACACATTGTTAAAATGACCCTTAAGAATGCTTTGACTTGCCAGGACATGGAGCCTTAGGGATGATGAGGAATTCCCCAGCAGGCATCTTCTCCCACCCGCAGGGGAGGTCGGCTTTGATGTGAATGTCTGTCCTCAGCAGATATAGTCGAATCCTCACCAGCTTATGTGTGACGCCCGGCCACAGTTCTCCATTTGGCCCATAATTTTCTGGGCTGTTCCATTGTGCCCGGTGATGCCCTTGGCACTTTTGGGGTAACTGATGAGAACGGCTGGTGGGGGGAGCAGACATGGCCCCAAGTCATCAGAATAAGGTGGAATGACACCCACACATCCTGTGCGCCCCAAAGCTACGACCCCCACGCCCTCTGGTCCAGGGTCTCCCCCAGCCCACCGCTCCCCTGCCTTCCAGGGACTGCAGCTACATCTCCAGCCCTGGAAGCCCAAGGCCCCCTGACCCCCACCCCTTCCCCGCTGCCCCCGCAGGGATACTCCTTTGTGGCACCTTCCATCCTGTTTGACCGCAACAACGCTGTGATGATGGACGTGCTGGAAGGGCCGGGCTCTGGAGACCGGCCTGGCCGGGCATCCTTGGCCAGGAGTGCCATGATGCAGGTAGGTTGTGCCTGGGTGGGAGAAGTTGGCTTGGGGGGCCTGGGCTTGGGGACTAGGTGAGACTTGAAGTTTCTCTGAGGAGGGGCGTGGGGGCCACAAGACTCCCAGGCAGGACCTCTCACGGCCCCCCTTTGTCCCCCAGGACTCACCCTTCTTCCAGCAGTACGAGCTCGACTTGCGGGAGCCGGCGCTCGGCCAGGGCAGCTTCTCCGTGTGTCGCCGCTGTCGCCAGCGCCAGAGCGGCCAGGAGTTCGCGGTCAAGATCCTCAGCCGCAGGTGGGCGCCCCGTACACGGGTGTGGCGCATTGGGCCCCTGCGGCCACTCTCCTGACCCCCTTCTGCTCCGCCCCTAGGCTGGAGGCGAACACGCAGCGTGAAGTGGCTGCCCTGCGGCTGTGCCAGTCGCACCCCAATGTGGTGAAGCTGCACGAAGTGCATCAAGACCAGGTGACACCCTTCTGGACTGGGCAGGACTGGGCAGGACTCCAGGGGCCACACTTGCTGCGCGGACGGGAAAGGGGACGGGACGGAGGCGGGGCCCGAGCCTGGGGGCGGGCCTGAGTGGACTGGGCGGCCCGGGAGCGGTGATGGGGCCCCCCCCCACGACCTGAAGGAGGGGAGAACAGAATCTGGGAAGGCGTGGGGAGGATGGGGCAATTTTTAGGTGGTTGACAGGGTGGAGTCTGGATGACGGTGGCGGGGAGTCTGAGGCGGGACTAGGGGAGATTCTCGGAGTGTTGGAACTTGAGCCAGGCGGAGAAAGGGGCGGGGCCTGGTGGTGGCTGCGGGGCGGGCCCAGCGGGTGACCGTGGTCCCATCACCCCGCTCCCCCGACCCCCCCACCCCGCAGCTGCACACTTACCTGGTGCTGGAGCTGCTGCGGGGCGGGGAGCTGCTGGAACACATCCGCAAGAAGCGGCACTTCAGCGAGTCGGAGGCGAGCCAAATCCTGCGCAGCCTCGTGTCGGCGGTCAGCTTCATGCACGAGGAGGCGGGCGTGGTGCACCGAGACCTCAAGCCCGAGGTGGGCGCGGGGCCCCGCGGCTGGGGAGGGCCGCAACGAGCGCCCGTGTCTGACAACGCCCGTCTCCCTCCCAGAACATCCTGTACGCCGACGACACGCCCGGAGCCCCAGTGAAGATCATCGACTTCGGGTTCGCGCGGCTGCGCCCGCAGAGCCCCGCGGGCCCCATGCAGACGCCCTGCTTCACGCTGCAGTACGCGGCCCCCGAGCTGCTGGCGCAGCAGGGCTACGACGAGTCCTGCGACCTCTGGAGCCTCGGCGTCATCCTGGTGCGGGACGGGGTCCCCTGAGCCCAGGACCGGGCGTGTCTCCGCGCGGGCAGCAGGGACTCCCAGGGCAGATATTGGGGTGATCTTGGAGGGGCGGCGGAGGCTGGGGTCAGAGGTCGTCCCCTGGTGCTGGGATTGGAGCAATAGGGTTTCGGGTTAGGGCAGGGGGTTCCCACGCAGGGCCTCAGGACTCACGCGCGGGGAGGGCGCGGTCTGCGGGCTGAGAAGCCAGCCTGCGCGCTCCCTTGGCTTGGCAGCCGCCGGTCTCACGTTTTCTCCCTCCCCCAGTACATGATGCTGTCGGGGCAGGTCCCTTTCCAGGGAGCCTCTGGCCAGGGCGGGCAGAGCCAGGCGGCCGAGATCATGTGCAAGATCCGCGAGGGGCGCTTCTCCCTCGACGGGGAGGCCTGGCAGGGCGTGTCCGAGGAAGCCAAGGAGCTGGTCCGAGGTGCGGAGCGGGAGGCCACGGACGGCGGCGGGGAGGCACACGCGACCGCTCCCTAACGCTTCCCTCCTCTGCCTCCAGGGCTTCTGACGGTGGACCCGGCCAAGCGGCTGAAACTCGAGGGGCTGCGGGGCAGCTCGTGGTTGCAGGACGGCAGCGCACGGTCCTCGCCGCCGCTGCGGACGCCGGATGTGCTGGAGTCCTCCGGGCCCGCCGTGCGCTCCGGGCTCAACGCCACCTTCATGGTGAGGGGCGGGCTGTGGGCCGGGGTGGCAGGGTCTGGAGGGGCGGGGCCCCCGGGGGGCGGCGTCCTGGAGCCGGTGAGGCGAGGTGCCCCAGCCGGCCCTTGGCCAGTCAGGCCAGAGCTGGGACCTGGGGGCGGTCGGGCGGCGAGTTGGGGCGCTCACCTGCCCTTCTCCGCCAGGCGTTCAACCGGGGTAAGCGCGAGGGCTTCTTCCTGAAGAGCGTGGAGAACGCGCCGCTGGCCAAGCGGCGGAAGCTGAAGCTGCGGAGCGCAGCCACCTCCCGCCGCTCCTCTCCCGCGCCCGCCGCCCCCGGCCGGCCGGCAGCCGCCAAGGGCGCCCCCCGCCGAGCCAACGGTCCCCTGCCCCCCTCCTAGGTCCTGGCCACCCTGACCCCCGCCCGAAGGGGACTGTGACCACCCGGCTCTCTGGCTCTCTCCTCCGCCTGTGGCAGCGCGCGTCCCGTCCCCAGGACTGCCCCCCCCACTCCCAGACAGAGCAGAAGTATTTTTATAAGCAGAGAATTTTTTATGTCTAACCAGATAGAGTTTGCGATGCAGGGAGGGAGGGGGACTTGTGGGTCTTGGGGAGCCCTCTGCCAAGATGTTGCCTCCGCTTCTCCCAGGGGCTGCTCCCCAGGAAGGGCCCCTGCCCGGTTTCCAAGCACTGAGTTGCCCCTGGGAGAAACTGGGACCTCTCTCCCCTGCCTCTCCCTGTTCTCGGGAAGGGGCACCCCTCAAGCTGTCACTTTATGGACTGTTTGTGCAATTACGTCCACCAAAGACCTGTTTGGGGGGTTCAGGGAGCGGCCCTAAGGGACCCCCTGAAGCATTTCTGCCTCACTTTATATCACCTGCTTCTCCCCATTGGGGCTAAGGAAGGAAGTAGGCAACCCCCTAACCGGGGAGACCCCTTCTCACCCACCCCTCCCCTTTGGCACAGTTGCCCCTGGCTGGGGGTGGTTGGGAGTTTGGGGGTCTGGGCTGGGCATGCGTTCACTGCCGCAGCCCATCAAGGCTGTGCCTTTGACTTTAAAATAAAAGTCCAGCCAGTGCTGTGTGCGGCACCTGTGTGTGTAGGGCAGAGGTCTTTGCAGATGCAGTTCTAGCCACGGCCTAGGGCCTCAGAAAGGAGGCACGGGACAGACGCTTCTGGGATAAGAAGGTGGCCCCCGCGGCCTTGCTGTGAGTGGTAGGAGGAGACAGTCGCCTGGGGTGTGCATTGAGGCAGTTCTGCTAAGAATCACTTAAGATTCTCTTGTAGGCGACAGAAAACCCAGCCTAAACTTGCTTAAGTAGAACAGGATTTTTAGGCCCTTAGAACTGCACAGCTCGGGGGTAGCTTCAGCAGGCTTGGCCCAGAGGCAGCGCGATGGGTCAAGGCTGCCTGCCTCACCTCTGTCCTAGTTTCTTGTACTGTCAGAGTCTGAAGGACGCTCACTTGGTCCCAAGGTGGGTGTGGCTGCTCCTGGGCTGCTGATTCCAGCCTCATAAAGAGCAGAGGCCTAAAGGGGTTAACTCCCAGCTCTGTCCACCCTGTGCGGTCAGCGAGCTGTGTGTGTGCACCCTCACAGGCACGTGTGGGAGGGGGATGGATGCGACTTGGACTCAAGGCCGGGCAGGGAGGTGGGGAAGCTGCAGTGGCAACTGCTTCCTCTACACCTTGACTTTGGCCTCGGGCCGGCTCACCCTCGGGTGGGGGCTGTGTTAGACTGCTGGAAAAACTCGCCCTTCTGCGCTCGTAAAACAGCCTGGAGCAGGCGTGGCTCGCTGCTGGTTCAGATGCTGGTGCTCGCTGAGGACAGCCGGGCCTCAGAACAGTGCCTCCCGCTCAGTCCGGGCTGGCCACAGCTGGAACGGAGGAGGCGTAAGCTTTGCGCCGGGGCCCACCGTAACCACCGCGGGACTCTGGGCGAGTTGCCTTCTGCGGGCTCAAAGCAAAAATATGCTAGAATAATATTAGACTGCTGTCACAGGGACTGCTAACTGGCTCCCTGTGTCTGGCCTAATGGAGGTTTTTTTTTGGGGGGGGGGAATGGGTAGGGCCGGTCCATGTCTTTTTTTTTTTTTTTTTTTTTAAGATTTTCTTACTTATGGCTATAAGAACTGGGGTGCAGGCCAGGGGTGCAGGGTGGGATTCACCAGAGACAGAGTGGGAGCAGAACAGATGGATCTACTGAAACACACTGCTGAGGGGAGCAGCGGGGAGACAGCAGAGGTCTGCTGCGCCATGGGGGTCACTCCCCCATGGGTATTGAACTGGTGCTGTCAACAGCCTCAAAAGGCTGCGACTTAACCCCTGGTGCCCCAGGCAGGCTCGACTTGGCTCTTTTTCTTCCAGAGTTGCCTGGCCCTTTCTGCCCCCTTTTTGGGTCCCACGGGGTCTCAGTGGCCCCCCTTGGGCCAACCCTGTCTGGCGGGGCATTTACCCACAGAGGACGGGCAACCTTGGGTATTTCACTGGGAAATTATTACCCTTTTTTCTCCTCTCTCTCCACCCCATCCCACTGTGCACTATCCTACCGAAGGTCTTGCAACCAGAGTTTTCTTCGCCCTTATGCGGCAGATGCAGAACCTATATAGATTGTGCAAGTTTGGGGGTCTCGGGTGACCCTCAGGCCACCTGCTAATACAGCCCATGTAATCACTTGTATATAGGATCAAAAATGTTCACCTTTACTGAATGTTAGTTTTAGGGGGAAAAAAAGCTCAGAAAATAGACAAAAATGAAAAGTGGACTGTGGTAGTGCCATAGATAATCCATGCTGGTCGCCATTTGATGCGCTCACGTCCAGATTCTCCTTGTTGCTGGAACTGTCTAATGGAAACGGCGTCCTGATGTAAGCGTACCCCGCCTGTTCTACAGCCTGCTTAATAACTCAGGAAGAGACTGTGAATATAACATGATAATACTAAAATTTGGGGGCAACATAATAGCGCGTTGTGTGGGCATCTTACATAGTATTGTGCTCAGTATTTTACTTCTGGTTGATAATGTTTTATATTTTATTTCTACATTATATTTTGGTGCAGAATAGTCCATCGTGTGTGACTTATCATTTATTTCAAATTTTACGGAGTTGCTACTAGTTTGCACTACCGTGTACTCTGGGGAGTGCAACTTCATGCTTCCGGTATGCAGGTGCCCGGTGACACCTGTGACCCTCCCCCTCCTACCTCCCCTCCTCCCTCCCCCCTCCCCCCCCGTTATGATTCTCTGGATTTGCTTGGCTGTTTCCAGTACCTTGCTATTTTGAATAGCGCGGCAGCGAACAGCCTTATGCTACATTTTTGCTCACCTGTCCAAATATTTCCTTAGGATATGTCTCCTAGAAGAGGAATTAATGGGCTAAAGGATATACCATGCACGCACATTTTAAAGTCTTTAGATATATATGATCAAACTGCCCTTCTTGAAGATCCTGCCACTTTATATGACTCGCGGCAGCTCCAGGATGCTCTGTCTCCTTGAAAGGGAAATGAGGCGTCTTACCAGCGTGTGTGCTTGCTGTCCGCCGGGCTTTCTTGGCAGAAGTCCTCCTTGCCCTGGCCGGGGGCAGCTGGCTGTGAAGAGGGGTGGTGGAGCTGCTGGGGGCTCCCTCTGGCCCCTGTGGCTGGGAGGGGGCTGGGAGGGGCCTGAATGCGCAGGGGGAAGAGCAGGCTGGGCCCAAACCCCGCCCTGCCCGGCCCTCCCAGTGCATGACCAGCCACTGAGGCAGTCTCCTCTGGCACTTGAGTGAGGTAGGGTGAACAGCACCCACGCAGAGAGCCAGAGTGTCCGGCGGGGGTCCTTGGCAAGGTGCCAGGCTCCTGGGCCCTCCAGAAAGGCCGGTTAAATTAAAGAGAGAGGAAGGACCGGGAATTCAGGAGCACCCAGGCCTGCTGTGACAGGGCCCGGGAGGAGGGGGCTTCCCTGCCTGCCCTGCACCTGTGCTGGCCCAGCCTCTGCTGCCCGGGCTCCCCCCTGGCCCAGCCTCTGCTGCCCGGGCTCCCCCCTGGCCCAGCCTCTGCTCTGGCGGGGCATTTACCCACGAAAGGACGGGCAACCTTGGGTATTTCACTGGGAAATTATTACCCTTTTTTCTCCTCTCTCTCCACCCCATCCCACTGTGCACTATCCTACCGAAGGTCTTGCAACCAGAGTTTTCTTCGCCCTTATGCGGCAGATGCAGAACCTATATAGATTGTGCAAGTTTGGGGGTCTCGGGTGACCCTCAGGCCACCTGCTAATACAGCCCATGTAATCACTTGTATATAGGATCAAAAATGTTCACCTTTACTGAATGTTAGTTTTAGGGGGAAAAAAAGCTCAGAAAATAGACAAAAATGAAAAGTGGACTGTGGTAGTGCCATAGATAATCCATGCTGGTCGCCATTTGATGCGCTCACGT